CGCTGGAACTCTTCAGGTGCAGGACTTATACCGAAAGGCATTCTTTTCCATCTATAACGTCCCCAAGGGGTACCAAATGTAGTCAGGTAACTGCTCTCCTGATCTAACTCTACATGCCAGAACCCATAACACTACAAAAGTCCATTGACATCTGCAGAGCGTGTGAGAAAACTGATGTTCAAATAAAGGACATTTCACATGAGGAGGTACAGTTTGTAAAGAAACAAAGCAAACAAGCGCCCTCTACATGACGTTCTTTAACATATCGTTACAGTGGTGAAGAAACGTTAAATTCTACTGTGAAATACAGGTGATAAGTTTAAGGTGATACTGAGGAGAATATCCATATTATTTGAGAAGGGTATTGTTTGGTTACCTTGATTAGCTTTAACATTGATCTAAAATCATTTTCCAGAATGGTTAACAACTTATGCTACATTTACACTAGACACAATAACATGATAACACGTTAAAAATGCGCTCAGTAGGGAGTGTTTTATTTGTGTGACGACGCGATGCTAGAACAGAATCACTCGCGTGACTGTCCTACCAGGCATCTTACGTTCTCTGCATAGATTTGTCCAAATTGCGTCTTAGAATCCATGCTACAAGAGCTGAACATTCTCGCATGCGACGATGACTTTTAGTTACGTCATTACTTTGTACATCCCACCGTCATCGTGCAATGGAAAGCTCCCTGTTGATGAATATAAATGACGTACACACACACACACACACACACACACACACACACACACACACACGATGATATGTCGTCGTGTCCAGTGAAAATATAGCTTTATTTATCAATGAACTGTACCTTCCATAAGCTGCGACACCCATTCAACATCAGAACCAAATGACATCCATGCCTACAACAATAAGACAAATGCTTGTATCTTTTACAACTGTAAATAAAATTAAATACAGTAGAACCCCTCCTTTGGGACACTCCTATTTAGGGGACTGGGATACTTTCTGAGTGTGCCAAATGGTCAAATCAATACATATTTAACCCTATTAAAAGGGACTCTTTTTTTTCTAAAAAAAAAAAAAAAAAGCAGTCTAAACATAAGACAAATTCATACAACTTTATATTTTGACACCTTTTGAGCAAATTACCAAATCAAAATTCTCTCTCTCGTATAAAATAATTTTAACCGTTAATCATGGGATTTCGTATTTGTTTTTCATATACTTTCATATAGGATTATCATTCTAATCCATAACATTCACTCTTTTCTAAGTCGTTAATCTATTCATGCTACATGCATCCAATTGAAAGCTCAAAATATTTGGTCATTAACATATTGCATAATAAAATAATATTGGGAACATATACAACTAAGTTTTAATTAAATTTATGCTGATTTCATATATTAAGTTAATTGTAATGTATTAGCATTACAAATTATTACTATGAATTAATTCTAATTCTATTGATATCAATACAAAATTAGATTATAAAGAATGTATGTCATCATTATATGAAACATCATGCCAAAAACCCCTATTAAGGGGATAATTTCACGACAATCGGGCTACTATTCATGGGCCACCCCTATTAAGGAGACAGTTTTTTTGGTCCCAAAGTTGTCCCCCGTAATAGGGATTAGGGGTTCTACTGTATTGAAGTTACTTGCTAGTAGTGCCATTACTACTACCACTACTACTACTACCACCACTACCACCACCACTACCACTACTACTACTACTTCTACTACTATGTCATGGTGAGAAATTTAATACTGTATACTCGTATTATGGTCCACATAAGCAGTATGCTGGATTATGTTTTTTTAAATTGTAAACATTGTATCACAGGCATTATACATCCAATCAGTGGCTTGTCAGGGGGTGGGGTAAGAACCCACACCTTCCCATAAATAGTTTACATCTTCCCAACTGAAAAATTGCTGAGCATATCACCTCATTCCCCCTATTAAATCTTCCTCACTTATAGATCTCTGTGTGTGTGAAATTTAACTACCAAAAATACCACCTTTGTTTAAAAAAAAAAACCACCTTTGTTTTAAAAAAATAACCAGTTTGAACTAGTTTAATACCAGATTTATAATAAAGTAAACAACTACAGTTCATTACTTACAAAATTCACAAAACAAGTCAAAAAAAAAGTTTGATACTATTTCTCACCACCCCCATGTCAAAATAAATACAACTATCCCTAACTGAAACCTCTTTTGTACAATAACTTACGGGCTTAGTTCAACCTCCAAATATTGATCCTTTTCACCCAGAATAAATGCTTCAACAACTGAAAATAAAAAAAATGTGTTCAGGAAGTTTGTTAAATAATAATTATACTAATATAAATAAACATAAATCTTTAGTAAGATTCGTCGAATCAGAAATTGCATTTGATTTCATGGAGGAGATAAGAGAATTGGGAGATGATAGCATTTAGGAAGAGTAAAATGAAAGGGAAAGAGTGAGTATGGAATGAATATTATTTTGTAACAACAAAGCTTTCATTTCCATTGATTCCTGATGATATAATTAATGTCGAAATATTGAATCCCGACACTATGGCGTGCATTTCGATACTTTGGTATATGTTATACTATCTAAAGTTTTTCTTGAAAGAAATTTAATAACATATATTTTTGGTGCAATTGTATGCATGACAATCTAGATAGTTTATCCAGTGGCGTAACACTAGGGCCAAACTTGGGTCCTTTTTAGGTCCCGGAAGCCAATCCCATTTTGGAATTTTAGATGTGCTCGTTTTAAAATCATATTTGTCATTGTTTTCTAAATGTTGTAACGACCAAATAATGATATGATATCAGTGGTAGATTCAGGAATTTTAAAAAGTGGGCCCACAGTTGTGCCCCACTAGATCATGATATATAAACACCAAAAAAAAAAAAGAAAAAAAGAATTTGAATTACAGTAAATTATATAACACACTACTACACTCTTCTGTTTGATATTCCACTGTGAAAGAGCCCCTCATTACCGACTACTAACATGCATAGACCCCACCACTTTCTTGGCCCTGTGACTCATTGTTACGCCAGTGGTCCCTCTTGGAAATTCAATCAACACCTTCATAATCAGATATGCAAATTAGATACCTTCATAATCCCACAGCTGTTCCTGGGCCCCTCCCACCTTGAAACCAGGGGGTGCAGGATCATTGAAGAATGGTGCTTTCACTGTCAACTGCAAACTGTCTGGACTTTCGGCACCAACTGATAGACGTATTTGCACTGCATCATGGGAAACCGGTGTACCATCCCAGCAGTGCTTGATTTTAAATGATATGTCATTCATTATTCCTAATGGGAAAGAAGATTAAAAATGTTATAGATATGGAAAAGGAGAGTGGGGAATGTGTAGGAGGGAGCCCTGGTAGAATTTTTGTTTCCCCCCCCCCCCCACCCCCTGCCAAAATCAGATTATGTAAATAATTAAAACTAAAACAAAAATTAATTTTTATATATCAAAAACAACAATTTGGGGAAAATATTGGGGAAACTGGTCAAGAATCAACACCTAATGACATAATGGTATCATCCAAAGATTTGTAAGATATTTCATCTGAGTGTCCCTCTGGTATTCAAAAGGTTGGTAGCCAAAAAGGGTGGGGAAGTTCAGCTCCACCCGTGGCGGGACTGAGATGGGGTGGCCCTTCTCTAGTACAATTTATTTATAAGTTGATGGGAACAGTGGCGTATCCAGGGGATGCGTGGGATGGGGGTGCACATGTTCCCAAAAATTTCTTGCGGGCCCCCTCCTCACCCAAAAAAAAAAAAATCATGGTCAAGTATAGTTAAAAATCACCCTATAGGCTATTTTGCGAATTAGCGCCCCTCAACTGATAATCAAGCCCCCGCCCCCACTTGACCACACACTCCCACGCCCACACACTTCCACCCCCCTCCATTTGAAGACTTCTAGATACGCCACTGGGCCTGGATGGGAAACAGAGCTATCTATTCTTGTTATTTACCTTTGTATCCTTATACTAGGCCTAAATGATTGGTGGTGTCGATGATGAGAGCCGCCTAAGAAGGGGGGTGGGGGGCCTAGATCCCAGGCTTTTTTTTTAATTTTTTATGAAACACAAAAATACGCAACACTTATCACTGCTTGTATGTGTACTGGTGTGTAGGCTAGGCTTACTAGAGGCATAATGGTTACCTTACAGTGAAAATCAGCGGCCATATCATGATCGTAAGCTAATAAACCATCTTTACAGCGTCAGCAGATAGACCATGGATAGACCAAACAGACAGTTAAAACTGCAAGAGGTCCGACTGCCGGGGATTCGTTGGAACGCAATCCTCTTTAAGTACACTGTACTGTACTTCCAAGAAGGAGGGGCGTGGTCTTTGATCGTACGGAATGAGTTTCTAAATTATGTGTAGGGCGCCCCCTATTTCGTTCAGTACTTTGAACGTTCTTTCGTGCATACAATCGGACCTCTTGCAGTTTTACTCTTTGAATAGACTAAGTCCTTTCCACTATTAGGCCCTATGTGAGGGCGGGAAAATAATAATTAAAAAATAATATCATATTACGTCCGCATAATCAGTATACTGCTTATCGGACATAATATGAGTAGGTCTACTGTATATTTTTTCCGCCCTTACATAGTATGCTTATACTGGACTCTTGGTTGGAAAGCTGGGGTGGGGGAGGAGGGGGAGGAGGTTTCGCGCACACATGTGAAGCTGTCACAGTGCTGTAAACAAACACGACTTTTTTATTTGTTCTAAAAAAGAAAGCCCAAGTAAGAAGAATTTGTATTATAGTGAGAGAGAGAAATATCGGCGATGTAAGTCCTTACTACCGACGTTTTACAATAAATTGCTAACTCGCCTAGACTATAGGCCCTACATTTTATCTGCCCCGAAATTCCAATCGTCTCGTTGTCGGTTTTTTTTTTTTTTTTTTTTTTTTTGTTTGTTTGTTTGTTTTGCGTAATTTGTAACCTTTGATATGATACTACTGTACTTTTGATGTAATGAGTTTTTTATTTGTTATAAAATTTTTGTGAAAGTAACCAGTGTCTATTAGTATAGGCCTGTTTTCTGTGATAATTCAGTGTTTTAGGTCTACATCCTTTGTATGGGTCTTGTAATTTTTATTTTAATAGTTAAAAAATGTAACAACTTAGTTTCACAATTCAGTTTCTCAACTGCAATGGACAACCTTATGTATATATTTTATATTGATGTGAATTAAGATACTACTGATATATAAACCTTATATATCTGAACCAGTAAATTTATCCCAGGCTCCATCCGGTGTTCCTTTTTATTTATTTTTTAAATTTATTATTATTATTATTTCCAGCGATTGTGTAGGCATACATCATTTTATCCTACTGTCCAGCGCTTTGATGAATAATGATTGTTATTAATATTATTGGGGGAAATTATATACTTCAGCAAGTTTATGTGTCGTTTCCTGATGGAACTTTTTTAAAGACTTTTTTCTTTTTTAATAAATCCCGATATCGGGTATTTTACTAGGCCTATAGTACCAGTATACGCAAATCACTCCAATCTTGGAGTTACAGAGCAACAACAACGTACCGTACGCAATTTTTTTTTCCGTACGAAACATTTGCATAAACCGAAAGGTCCACTGATTAATCTCAGATAAGAAAGTATAATACATACTCCAAGTATTGAAATACACGCCATCGTGTTGGGATTCAATATTTCGACATTAATTATGTCATCATCAGGAATGATGCATGTTTAAAACATTTGCATGTTTTAACACCTCTGAACCTCTATATTTATTGTCTACCGCCCTCTATAAAACTAATATACTGCATCACTGCATCTTGCATGCCACTGCATGCAAACAGCAGGTACGCCGCCGTACGTCGTGTGTTTGTGTCTGGAGAATTGGAATTGTTTGGAAGACAACAGGTTGGTGTTTTCTTCTGATGTATTGTTGTAAATGGTGAAATTTCGACGAAGGATTTAATACATTTTTAGGAATGGTTTTCACCTTCATTTGCTAGGTTAGTATGAAAGAGTTACTATTTAGCTGTTTTAATAGCATATCATTATGAAGCTGAAGTAATTTTGTATTGATGAAATAAATGGTATCAATTATCAAAAGGTTTGGTGAATGTACTGTAAGTAAGTGCCCAGCGCTTTACTGGAGTGTGTTGTTCTCTCAGCCTGGGTAATATGCATTGTCGGAGGGGTTGAATAGCTTTAATATGGATGCTCAAATTCTAAAACTAGGCTAGTTAAACAATTCTAGTGTAGGCTGCAGTTTGCTGGCGAATGGAACACCAAATCAAGATTCTAATATTAATTAGTAGATTGTTTTATATGCAAACAACAGGTTGTTTTATATGGTAACATCATGCAACCAACAGGTTTTTTTTTATATAATATAACATCATGCAACCAACAGGTTTTTGATGAAATTTTTATGCCATTTTCCAGATCTCCCTTCTGTTTTTAGGAACATCAATTACGAATTTCGAAAACAAATTTGAAAAATCCAGCAAAGATGAAACATGCCAAACGAAAACTTTAACAATTGTAATTTGTTTTTTTGGCAAGGTACCAAATAGAGTACAAATTTGTCCTCAAAGCTTGCAAGTTGCCCCTTTTCTTCTACCTTCGTATTGACCTACTTATTTACCCTCTCATAGCTTGTTTCTCCATAGTGTACCTCCCACTTTATCACTGAATTTTTGTGCTTTTGACTTTCATTCACAAATCAACCTATTTGTTTTATCTTGTATTTCACAAGTTACAATGACAGGCATGTAAAATATGTACAAATTTATGACCCATTTAATGCAATAATTTATGTTGATATTTCATGCATAAAATTAAGATAATAATAGAGACACTTCACACTATCTGTATGTAAACCTAGATAGTGGTATCTGTTTAACTCCATTATCTGTACATATTGAATCATAATGAGTTGATTGTTTTGTTCTTAATCAGTATGCGATAAGCACAACCTGTGTTTTTGCAAGGATAAGATATGTAGTCTAATAGAGGCCGTAGCCATAATTGCTATTGGGGAGGGATGGGGGTTGTGTTCAACAATTGACCAGATGGGATATGGTAGTCACCTTGAACCCCTTACGTGAGTCAAGGTGAAGAGCTGTTAAGATCACAGCTTTGGTATTGTAGGGGCCGGCTCTGATAGGTTACTATGATTAAATTGTAAAGATTTTAAAAATTTTCCTTTTATAATGCCTATAGGTTACAATTATAACTGTACCCAAGGTGGTGAAAGTGCTTGAAAATGACAATCTTTGTACGTTGCAAGGTGTGCCTGTGACTGTTACGCCCGAGTCCATCTGATTACATTAGCTCATCAGACTAGTGAGCGAACTCATGTACCACCTATAAGCCTAGCATTGTTATGTTAATTTCTGCATATCTTCTGTATTCTCTTCCATTGTTGTTGGGCTCAGATTTACTTTGTGATGCCATGATGAAAGGGCTTTTGAGGGTTAATCACCACCTTATAAAGGGAAATTTTCACTTGTAATTCACCGAGTTAGAATTTAACTGTCATTTAGTGGTGGTGCTGCAAAGTTCACTGAATTGTGAATCGTTACAAAATTCTTACTGTCGTCAAATAATAGGCTGTCTTCACAAAGGATTCTAGGAAATCCTGCCCATAAACAGTACCACTTAATTATAAAAAGTGACAGGGAAATTACCAATAATTTTCATTATAGACATTGTGTTAAGCTTCACAAAAATAAAATGAATTCTAATATTAGAATTGCTTACTTTAAGACATACTTTTCCAAATCCTCCATGTTTAGAAGTAGGTGACTTTAAAATTTTGCTCACTAATTAATAGTTCATACAATTATCATTTCTATTATGAATAAATGATTGAGAAGGGGTTTGCCAGATTTTAACCAAGTTAATAATGAATACCATATAATCATTCGAATAAAAGCCCTATTGTTAAGAAGGGTTTTTGAGGGAATTTATTCAAGAGAGGCATTTATATTTTTTGGTATAAAAATGGATACTTATAAAACTATATTTACACTAGACACGACGACACGTCGTCGTGTCGTTACCATTTATAGTGTAAATGGAGCTTAACTCGTATAAACGCCCTTTATTCAGGGAGGGGGGAGGCAGGAAATTATTCCAAATAAGACACAAGAGAGGAAACTATTTGAGGGGGCATTTTTTTTAAAGCGGGGCATTTATTTGAATAAATACCTTAAATTTTAATAAGAATTAATTATACAGTAATATAAGATGGAATGAAGCTGGCATAGTAAAACATTTGCTGATATCATTAATTATAAATGAATTATTTGGTGATATCTGTTGTAAAAATTTACATGTCAATTTGAATAGATTAAATTTTATTGAACTGGCAGACCAAATCTCATCTTTCTATTCCCTAAAAAAAAAAAAAAAAAATTCCCTCAAGAATATTCAACAGAACTCAGCCAAACCAAGGTGGGGGTTTTATCAATTTTAATTTGATTGAGGGTTGGGGTTTTAGCCTTCTTTCTCAAATATCTTGGTGGATAAAACTTGTTTTTTACAGTCTCTCTATAGCAGCGTTAATAAATTTTTGTTAAATACAGGTAACAATGTGTACAACAAAGTAACAATTTTGTATATATTTTTTTCATGTTAATTTTTCTAGTTATTTTTTACTTACCTTCTAATAAATCTGATTGTTGTCATTCAGACAAAAAGCAGATGTTTTTTTGTTATCGATATTGTTATTGATATTGACAAATTTTGTATAATTTATTCGGTTGACTTGCTTTTGTTAATCTCATATTGTGTGACACTAATTGTGGTTGGGTATTTGTCATTTTGATTTGTAACCAGTTGTACAAATCAACAGTTATGTGTTTCTTACTATAAAATTTTCTCTGATGTTCCACTATACAGCACGTTTGTCTAACCTAGGATATATTTTATAATAAACTCTATCCCCATATTAATCTTCCAAAAACTAAACGTTCTGAAAATCCTAAGGAAGAGTAATTTAAATTATCCTGATATTGATAGCAATGAGCACTGTAAACCTGTGTGTGGTTACGCTGAGGGGCACTGTGTGTTTC